GGTACAGCAGCAACAGCAACAGCAGCAACAGCAACATCAGCAACAGCAACAACTGCAGCAGCAACAACTGTAACAGCTACTACGGCGAAAACAAACAACAAACGTTAAGATTGTTTGACGGCAGCCGTTTATGAAGCACCCTACGCTGCACTTTCCGCACTTTTGCAGCACGACAAACTCAATAAAACGTCTGGAGGTTGAGGTTTCCCTTGCCTTGGAGCTGGATCTTACGAAGGAGTGCAAGTTGTGGCTCGAGTGCAGCACTGATTAGCTGCCGGTTATCCCGGCAAATAAGATGTGATATGGCCCGATCCGCTGACAGTTCACCGGCTAAAGAGAGAGAGATGTTGGCACAGTTAAAGTGGCTGCGGGTTTTGCATGATGAAATACTAAAAGCCAAGAACCCAATGGTAGCTATACAACCAGACACACAGGAAGAAATATCATATCATATTATGTATAATATTATCTTAGATTATATGGAAAGTAACAACCACAATCTCTGTCTTAAAATCAGCTAGAATCTTTAAATAATTCAAAGATAGATGTATTATATTTATTTTATTTCCGATTCAATAAAATTTATCACCATTCTAGAGAATAATTAATGTTGCAATTACCATATGATATTTATACATTATTTATTATTTCTATAAACAAAAAGTAATAGATCCAATTAAATTTCAAACCCAATTTTCTCCTAGTGCCTGCACTTAATTGCACCGAATGTTTTTAGACCCGTTTCTCATCAGCTGAAAGTAGTGCAAAAAAATGATTCCCTCTGAAAAGCTGGCTTACTTACCTGTTTTACCTGTGCCACTCCTGGCATTTTGGCATTCCGGCATTCTAGCATTCTGGCACTAGTGGCACAGCCCGAAGATGCCGCGTCGCTTGCTGCGAAAAGGAACTTTCAGCTCATTAACTTAAAAACTTGCGGCGCTCTCGAGCGGGATCTTAGGATTTGGCTGAATGCAGAACATGCATGACAAAGCCCACCGCCCGAGATGAGATGAACTGAGCGCCGAGCTGTTTCTGTGTAGAGTACTCACAAAAAAAAATAAATAAAAAAAATAAGAAAACACCGCAGCATTTTTAATTTACTACAGAAATTACAAGCGGGCTGCGTGAGAAAAAGTATTTTTCTTGAAAGCACAAGGAAAACTGGATGATGTTGCCTGCTGGGGAAGACAGGGTGTGGCTGGAGGGATGGGGGGAGGAGCACGGAAATATAAATAAATAAACCGAGGTCGAATGCAGAAGCACTCCACGCCTGCTCTCAAACAGTGCGCCCAGTCAGTCAAGTCACTTTGTCATTCCGAGTGGAGCGGCAGCATCAACAGCATCCTGCATCCTGTATCCAGAATCCAGAATCCTCCAGCCAGTACACATTTGCATGACGTCAGGAGTCGAAGGATGCGAATGCGGGCTGCAGCAAGGGATTGGGGATGTGAAGCTTCAGTTTTTGCCGGCGCCGGAATTCTTCATTCTCATATTTTTTTTCCTTGCTCGCCGGCGTTGGGCTTCTTGTTGGTTTTCTGCTGGCAGCGTGTATATTTAATTAAAACAGGATTAATCTAGCAGAAACAATACTTCACTAAATGCAGCGCCAGCCTGTGGTCCTCGGCTCCAGCTTCAGCTTCAGCTTCAGCATCACCATCAGCTTCAGCTCCATTTCCAGTTCTGGCTCTTGCTCCTGCTCCTGCTCCGGCATCAGCTTCAGCCTGCGGCTTGGCTAACAGACTCGTTGGCTTGCCTGGCAGGCGACTGGGAGGCGGGGTAGTGGGGGGAAATTGCGGGAAAAACAGTACAGAGCTGCGGGAAAAACCCCGGAGGCGGGAAGAGGACCTCGGCTGCCAGATTCGCCCGAGCTCAACACAAACAATGGCGTTAACTGCTCATGCACAGCCCCACTTACTCACAGGAACACTGAGGGAAAAATTATAGCACAAAATATTAAGACTTGAAATTAAAAGGAATTTGTTCTAAACATGTATTTGATATTTTTCCTAATATTTAATTTTTTTTTAACTACAAAACATGTCCATATAAAGTAAGTACATTTTTTGTTATTTTTTCAAGAGATATATTACCATTAGCTATATTGACTTTTTTAATAAATATATATATGTTAGCTACTAGGAGTTTCGATTTAAAAATTATTTATATTTATTTTAACTATTAAACTTCTCATGTGTTAGAGAAATATGTTCTGTTAACATTTTAATTAATTATCTCAATTCATTTTTTTTGTTTTTAATATTAACCTGCATGTGTGTTCCACAAAAAAAAAAAAAAGACAAGAAACGAGTTAATATAAACATTTTAATTAATTATACCCTCAAATATGGTAAGAATTTTTCTCGTGGCTCACACACACACACACACCGTTGTAGCAGCAGAAGCCATGCTAGTTGGCGGCTTTAATGCACTGCGGGCCCCAAAATGTATGCTACGCTTTTTGATACGTTATGCAGATGCCTTGGAAGAGCGCCGCCGACAGCTTAGCAGCGCGCTTTCAATCATTCAACTTCACCTTTGGCCTCAACTGAGACTCTGACTCCGACTCCGACTTCAACTCCGTCTCCGTATCCTTCTCATTTGCCGCCTCCTTCTTCTAGCGCTGCGTTGCCAATCAAGGAAATTGCGTGCTCACATGTTAAACGGGCGGGAAGCGAAGGAAGCAGAGGGCTGCCAAAACAGGACAAATGGGATGGAAAAACAGCAGGAAAGTGGGCGAAACGCTTTTCGGCCATTTACTATCGACTTTAATTAATATTTACCTTCAGCTAGCTTTCAGCAGGGCGACGACTATTAGCCGGGGCAAACAGTTTTAACAGCTATGCGGATGTTTTGACTTTTAGTCCTCCGACTTTTGGGCATCAAAAAACTTGAGCCAAGGTGCTCCTTCAGTCAAACGGAGGGCAAATAAACAAAATATATGCCAAAGCGGTAGCAATTTCTTTGCTCGCACGTCCAATATAATTTCTCTGTGTTGTTTTTAATATTTTGACCAACGGAAAGAAAACAACTCGCACCGAGGCAGATTGAAATCCATGTCCAACAGCCAAGGAGCAGCTCCGAGAAGCAGAAGCAGAAACCCAACCAGAACCAGAACCAGAACCAGAGCCGAAGAACCTAGCAGAAATCCCCACCAGGAAGTGCTATACACAGGCACGGCCAGCAGCACCAGCAGCAGCAACAACGGCAACCAGCGGCAGGACGAGGAACAGGACGAGGACCCGGAGCAAGAGCAAGAGCAACAAAAACAACGGCAACATGAGTCGAAATTGTAGTTGTACAAACACGTCAGCTTTTAAATTACTTGGCCTAAAGGTAAATTGAGCGGAAGTTAAAATGTTGGAAAAACAGCACGAAAAAAGCAAAACCAAAAACACGGGGGCAGCGTCTGTGGGTGGGGTTGATGGGTGGCTTTTTTTGGGTGGCTTTACGGGCGGTGTAACGGAATACAGTGCCAGTGCCGGTTAAGTGGGGGAAAAAAGGGAAGGGCGGTGTCCATAACAACAACAACATGCCAGGGGAAGCCTGGCGGAGCCTGTAGTAGGAGGCCAAGAGGAGGCGGCACACGGCAAATTTGCCGGGAGTAAACGCAAGAATAATAACAACCGAAAGCAAGTTTTTCGGCTCAAGTTGTTTTTGCTGCCGCCGCTATGAAATTCAGTGGCATACAGAACGTAATTTCAACTAAACGAACCGACAAACAAAAACAAACAACAAACGAACGAACGAAACAAACAAACAGCGGCGAAATATTATTTTAGCCTGGCTTGCATCCTTCCTGAAGCCTGGCGGCCAAACCAGGAGATCCAACCAGCCTCCCCGCCATTCATATGCGAGCGGGATAAGTTGGCGAAATTGTGCAATAATAAAATATTTGCAATGTACTCGAACGGCGGCGGCACTGGCAGTGGCAACTCCAACGGCAGCAACAACAGCAGCGACAGCGGCAACTGCATTTTCATAAAGTGCAGCTCATAATAAAGCCGCGGGTGGGTACAATCGCCCCGCGGGGCCCAAATAAAAAGCACAAATAAATATGAGCAGCACCAGCAGCAGCAGGAGGAACAGGAGCAGCAACCAGCAACAAGCCGAACCAAAACAAACAACAATGGCAGGACCAGGGACCGGGTCTGGCACACCAACCAAGCCAAGTCTCGAGCATGGCCAAAACAAAACAATGCAAAGGCGAAACAAAAAATATAATAAAGCCCGCGAAAATATTTGCAGCGGGCATTGAGAAATGTTGCGCAATAAAAATTGCATTTTTATGCTGATGTTTGAATTTCGCATGCAAATGAAAAACGAACAGCGCCAACCCAAAAAATAACAGCTCCGATTCGGACTTTCATTGTTAAAGGATCGACGAATGGGTTACCCGATATCAGTCTCAACACTATCCATTTCGATGTGTGTCTGTGATAACAGATTCACATTCTGTTATCACTTTTTTTCAATACAATCAGTTGATATTGAAATCATCGGTTTCAATAATCTCTTCTTTCAGTTTGATCGGTTTTTTTTGGTCGGAGAAGGTTTTAACTTCATAAGGGAACTAGCTTAATAACCAACTGAAATATAAATAATAAATATAATATTATATTAATAAGCATAATAAATATATATAACGAAATTGCATTTCTCTTCAGAACTTTGTAGATGAAAATCAGATTCAACACTGAGAAGTCAAATTCCTCAAATGCTCCCGTCGAAGTGTCGCCCATACAAGCTCAAAGGATATTACAAAAAAGAATATTGTAAATGGCCGACCAATTTAGCGGAATACCACCACTGTCGATTGCACTTTTGTGGCTAAATGGAGTGGATTTAATATGCCTTTGATACCCTCTGTCTGCCGTGTAGCATAGACAACAAAATGGTCTGGAAATAAAGGGGACGAACTGGGGCTAGGAATACCGGGGCAGGAAGTGCCGCTACCGCTGCCGCTTTCCCGGCTTTATCCCCTATGCAGCCCCTGCTTTTCCCTAGTTTTCCTCGCTGTCAGTGGCAGCGCCGGTTCGCGGCTTAGCTGAGACTTTGCGCCCACGCTCCACGTGTTTATGACTTTGAATTGCAACTTCATCCGCCGTGTGGGCCCGCCGTAGCCCTTAGCCGTTGTTGCTGTTCCTGTTCCTGCTGCTGCTGTTGTAGCTGCAATTTTTGTTCCAGTGTTGTCGGTTGTTGTTGCTGCTGCCGGGTGCCGGGTGCCGGGTGCCGTTCGCTGTCGGGTGCAATGATGGCGGCGCATAGCGCGCATTGTGACGCGAAATGGCGTCGAGTTGAATAATCCAACATGGCGCTTTGCCGCCGTTGCCGCCGCCGCCGAGAGCTGTAGTATTTGTGTTCTCGCCAGTGTTTGTGTGCGTTGTGTTGTCTGTTTCCGGCAGCCGGATAAAAAACTTGGCGTTAAAGTGTTAATATTTTGAGTTTTGAGAGCGGAGTGGCAGGACTGGCAGGCGAGGCAGGCCAGGCCTCGCCAGGCAGGACATGCAAATGGCCGGGTCAGAGGTCGCGGAGCAGAGTTACTGCGGAGCGACAGCTTCGACGCTGTTTCCCCTCGACGCTGACACTTGTTCAATTCAAATAGCACGCCAGAGTACCGACATTGATGTCCTGGCACGGCATTTCTCCGCCAGGCGGTCCTGCTCCTTGCCGCTTTCCGCCACTTTTCGGGCCTAGCTCCGAATGGCGTGCCCGGCGAGCCGCATTTATGTTATCTTTAATTTTTCACAACGAAATTGGCCGTGGGAGTGCAGTTCCAATTGCCAGACAACAAGCATATTTATTTATATTGCCGCCCCGCTCCGACCCCGATGCGAAGCCTGAACTGTCATAAAGGCAGGACGACAGCCAAGCCACTTCAGTTCTCAGTTTTAACTGGTAGAAATGGCGGTGATGGGGGTCCTTATTCTTGGGGAAAAGTTGAAGATAGAATAGAGACCGATGGGCAGTCGAATTTGGCGACTTGGAAGGCAAACGCTAGTCAATTAGGTTAAACTTTAGAAGGACTTGAAGGTTGAAGCTGAGTTTAAACTATATATCTGAAGTACATAATAAGTAAATTTTTTTATTATGGAGAGTTGTATTCAAATATATTTGAAAAGCTGAAATAGTTAAACATCAACAAAGGTAAACAATAAAAAATTCAAAGAATTTTGAAACGCTTTATTATTTTCAATTTTCAAAAGACAAAAGGCAAATTAATACTTTTACATTTCACTACGTTTCCTTTAAAATTAGCTACGTCTGGAGGAAACATCGTTAAAATTGTCAAAAATTGACTAAAATGGGAATTTTTTAAAACTTTATATTTATTAAACAGATTTGTTAAACTTTTTAACGCTAGCATAGGAACGCTTTCCGAATTGAAATAAATGGATATTTGGCTTAGTTATGAGTTTTTTTAACTTTGATATATTGACTAAATTGTCTTATAAAAATATTCATAAATACCGATACAAAGAATGAGAATATTTTAAGATTAGTTATGATCGATTTCCAATGGGATCCTATAATTCAAATGCAAACTCAAAAGGTATATCAATTTCGGCTTCCCGAAATTAGTTTCTTTTAACGATAAAATAAAGTTAACAAAATGGGTTAAACATTTGGTTTTGCCGGATATATGACTAGGTCGATTCGACTTTTTATGCTGTTCCAGAATATACATAATTTTTTGGTTCAGAAGCTACTCCTGCACATGTATAATAATGTAGCAAAATTTGTCACCCAAGTCAGGGTCAGAAGCCAACACTTTTGAATAATGAATTTTTAAGTCAGGCACTTAACTCTAAATAAAACAAATAGCTGAATCAATTTAAATTAACTTACCTAGTCCTGATCCCTCCAATAGCATCTACATATATCAATGATATAATTATCATGGTTAAAACTTACCGCAGACATCCTCTTTCGTCATTGATTAATTCCTTTCAGTGTAGAGTAATATTCTCTATGACTCTTATAAGGCATTTCACTAAATTTTCGAAGTAAGCTTCTTCTTGGTTATCCAGATGTAACAGGTGTTATTATTTGGGTCGAAGGCCAATCACTATCACCGCCACTATCACCATAGATGTAAACACTGGGAAGGCCGCGAACAGAATGAGGCCAGTGCGGGGTCTGTGCCTCTATTTATAGTCCCAGAGGAAAGAGAAAAGAGAAAGTGAGAGCGAGAGAGAGAGAGTAAGGGACGTCGCTAGAGATAGGCAAAGCCACATGCAGGGAAGCAAATATCTCTAGAGATGCACAGAGAGGGACATACCGAGAGAGGAAGAAAGAGAGTGAGAGGAGGGAGACAGAGTTTATATACATATGTTATTTTAATAAAAGTAACCTGCAAAGAAACGTTAAAAAATCTTTAGAAAAAAAACCCAATGCTTTGTATTTAATGTCTCAATTCTTCTATTACAATGACTTTCATGGTTCATGGTTTCATGGCTTACGACTCAGAGGCCCAAACTTGAATGCCAATTGCCACGCTTGTGTTTGAGCCATTATTTGGCATTCGGTCTTTTGACCAACAATGCGGATGGAAGAACACGGGCACAAACCGATGACTTGGCAAATTAATCAAGCGAACATTGCATTTCGCGGTCAGTTTGCCCAAAGTGCCGCCAATTAGAACGCTGCGGTACCCCATTACCCTGGCACAATACTCATGAATGGCACTTTATAGTGGAGCAGCAATTAAATTTGATTTATTCCCTCGGTGCCTGTCTCTTTTGTCGGTTAATCGCTGATTGGTCGGTGTAAGTTTCAGTTTTACTTAAAAATTAATTATCAGCCAGCTTGGATCGCGCTGTTGACTTTGCCCGGTCACGTCGCATTAACCATACGCACTGTGTGTACGCAGCGCATAACTGCCGGCCAGCCAAGCAATCAAGCGAACTGTCAGCAAAGCCCCACATCCACATTCATAGCCACCACATCCCTGTCCATGTCCATGTCCACAGCCGCTTTCCCATCCGAATCCCCGCCTGCAATTCACCGGCAAACCAATTGCACAGTTTCCAGGCAAACAACTTGCCAGACTGAAGTGATAGCGACTCGCAGAAAATAAAGAAAAAATAGCTGGCGAATTGTCAGGCTGGCGTTTAAAACCAGTTCGCATCAATTTAAGCGGACATATGCTTAACTTTGCTTGCGGTGATTTTTCAACTTGGCCCGCAGAGTTGCAGTTCCAGGTAGTCAGCCAGGTAACCTCATCTCCTTCGCCTTCTCCTCGCTCCATGGCTCCATGGCTCCATGGCTCCTTCTGGAGTGCTTTGCACATTGACAGCGTTAATTAACTTTTAATTTAATTTCGCGTAAATGAGTTTTTACTGTCAGCGCGCGTTGCTTTATTTAAGCTGACAAAAAACGCAATTTGCAATGCAGGAGTTTTGCAGCGGGGAGACGAGCAGGGAGAGCATGCTTTTAAGCGCGGTTTTCAAATGTGGCTGCGATGTCGTCAGCCAGTGTCAATTTATGCCGCCAAAGTGAAAATCCAAACTGAAAGATTTATGCAGGCAACGCAGAAACACACAAACTCACAGGACACACACACACACACACACACACACACACACACACACACACACATAAATAAATACATACATACCATATATTATTTATATTTTTCTTCTTTTTTTTCGTTTGGCAAATGTGATTTATACGAAAAATCTCAGCAACAAGCGACCCGGCTGGGCCGGCGGTGTGCGTGTGAAATATTTTGCAGCTTTCGGAGATTTTTAAATTCAATTTTACCAGCCAGACGCAGACGCAGTTGCAGTTGTAGCTACAGTTTCGGTTTTGCAAGTTGCACTTGCCAGTCGCAGATGAATGGTAGGGATTCAGAGATGCCGATGGGCCATGTCGATGTGATGTCGAGGCCAGCCGTTGCATAAATAAGCGCTTTAGACCACTGTGCTGTGGCAGGAGGAGCGCAGGAGCGCTGGAGCGGAGGAGCAGTTCCTCCGCCATGCCGGAGGGACAGAAGGCCGCACAGAAGGTGTGTGTTTTATTAATTGCCAGCGCCAATGCCGCAGCGGCCGCAGCAGCCGCCACCAAGAGAAATATGCGAGCAATGCACGCATGCGGTTCCCTCAGTTTTTCCCGCTTTCCCCGCTTAACCCTTCAGTAGAGTTTTCCCAGTTTTTTTACTGCCAACTCTTCAGGCCCTCACCGCTTCCGAGTGGCCAGTGGCACGTTATATCGTTAATGAAAACTGATTCTAGTGTCATTAACGTGCGAGCTTTCCAGACCGATTCGAGTGCAATGTGCGACGACGTATCTTTATGCACAGCGAGAAAAGTTACTAGCAGAAAAGTGATGTTAAACTTTGAAAACTTTATGATATACTTCATTTAATAAAAAGAAATACCTTTAGTGTGTTTAAGAAATGGTGGGTAAGATGTTTTTTAAAGGTATATTATAAAGATCTATTATAAAGATCTATTCAAATACTATATTATATACCCATCTATTAATATTTGTCATCAAATTTAGCAGACCTATCTAATTATTACTAATTTCTTTGAGTGTCCTTTCTTACCCGCCTCGTCCTTGGGGGCACAGACACCCAATCCCGATCCCGATACGGACACCTCCTTGTCCCATCGTCGCCAGTGGGCATGACGAGTCATTTAAACTGATGCGTCGCCAACTGAGTGAGCAACTGATTGCGTCCTGCCACTCTACCACCTCCTTGCTCTCCCAAACCCCTCCCCTTGTATTGTCCTTCTCGTTACTGAACCCGCTGACGACTTAATGACAGTCATACAAAATGCGACAACGGTGCGAAAATTGCAAGGCTTGCCTTGCCAACAGCAATGCAGCGGCGCTCCCGATGATTACCTTTTAATGCAAATATAAAAAATGAAAGAACAACATAAAAGGGATCACAGAGCAAGGAGTCGAGTGTAAGATGCTCTTATTAAATCTGATAAAAATGTAAATATAATTAAGCAACCAGCTTAGAAAGTATTCAGTATCTAAATATCACCATTACTTCCTTATTGCATCTCATAATAATTTAGTAAATAGTTATAACAGGTAACCCTTAGTGTGTTTCAAATAAATAATATTAAATTGTTGTCAAATAATACCTGTAATCTTTCAAAATCATGTGATTGTAAATTAATAATGTGTGTGATTGGAATGGACTGTTTTGATTCGTGTTTGAATTGATTGACAACTGCAAGCCGCGTCGGACACGCCCCAAAAAAACGCAGGGTATAATCAAAAGCGGTGCCAGCAACAACAAAGACAAGCTGACAAAGGCAAAAACAATACAAAAAAATATAAATAAAAAATAAAACCCAACCCAAAACAAAAAGGCAGGAAAAACAAGAAGAACAACGTTGGCCCGAAGGGGAATCCCGGCATCGGGGATCTGGACAGAGCTTCACTGCCATGCCATACCATGGCATGTGTAAATGACGCTTAAAATTGAAAAATTAAATGAGAAATTATTATGTGTGGCAGCGGGAAGGAGCCAGAGTCAGAGTCAGAGAGGGATCCCTGGGATAGGGACGCGGATACGGACACGGACACGGATGCGGATCCGGCCCAGTGGGACATGTGCGTTAATGTGCGCGAGTGTGAGACGGCGCAGTGTCATTAAATTAATTTGTCAAATATGTATAAAATAATAAATTACCTTTTTGTCAGTTACTCGTTTATTAATTTGTACATGGCAACAACTTTTCGGCGCGCTTGCAAAGGCGAACGGAAAAAAATAATAATGGAAACCAGGACGAGGCAGTGTCCAGAAGTCAACTAGCATAAAAAATTATGATGTGTAAAAAAGTAAACACATAAAAACATCCAGTGGAAAGTGTGTGGGGGACTTGGGGGGTGGTGAAAAATTGGACAAATTGCCTGGCTGCTCATCGTGTATCGTTTAATAGAAACGCCGACCCAACTATATATACATATATATACACACACGTCACATGTTTTCTGTCCATTTTTATTTCACAGCTCGCTGGCCGAAAGTTGAATGATTTATGATTTATTCAATGCAGCGGCCAAAACGAAGCAAAAGTGGCAAGCGGCTTGTGTGACTCTACCCGGTGTCTGTCTGTTAAATTATTTTTTAATGTGTCTATTAAAAAATACAACAGCTGCATCAACAACTGACAGCAGAAGCTGCAGCAGCAGCAACAGCAACAGCAACAGCAACCGTGGCAGCAATTGGTTTCGATATATAAAGGTATGCACAGGTAGAAACAATGAAACAATGAAACAATGACTTTATGGGTTCTTATTTAATATATAAATAATAACTAACCTTGCGGATATTCAACCCAGACAGCACAGTTTATCCTAAACCTTATGAACTTTCTTTAAAATCAAAAACTCGGCATTTTTTAAAGACCCTACCTAGCTGATCCTTTTTTCGTCCTGTGTAAAACTATAGTACATGAAGTGGCTTCGGTTCAAGTTGGGGATTTGGCGCCGGCATTAACATGGAACCAATATAAATGGCATGCCAAATTGTAGTGGATGAACAAATTTGCCGCTTCATATGCGGAGCGGCAATAAAAACTTGTAGCGCCAAAGCCAAATGCGATTTGGTGGGGCATTTGTTTTAAATTACCCTGGCGTGTAAGTGATGAACTGGTGTGTCTGTGTACTGTGTTGGTCCGGCCGCTGTAACACCAGCAAATTGAGCAGTCGGCCCAAAATAACAACACAACAACACTGAGCCCACTTTGGCCCACCAAAAAGCCCAAAAAAATAAAAGAAGAGAACACAAAAAGTGGAGCATTGAACTCGCCCTCGCCAGGGGATTTCCCGAAAAAAAGGGCCAGCACCATGATGAGCCATAAAACTATTGCAGCTATTTGGAGAAGATTGCAGGGGCTAGAGATACAAAGATACTTATATCGAACCACACCACGAAGTAAACATTTCCGTAAGCAGACAGAAGACAATTGCAATTCAGGCCAGAACACCACAAAAGCCAACTGATCCAGTGTCCAACATAATGGTCTTTCTGTCCTCCGATTTTATGAACTGCGGAAATGTGGCCAAAAATGTGAGGAACAAGTTTCAGGAATTTTGGTAATATATATTTTCTTGTACAAAATTATACATTGTCTGATGTGTTACATTAATCACAAAACTTTAATATTAATTTTAAATGAAATATATTTATGCATATCGTTTAGGTACTCGATAACGATCATCTGGAGCCATATCCACTTGATAATAGTTAAAAACCACAAACGAGAATATAAAGTAAAGCACTAAAAATTAAAATTAAAAATTAAATTTAAATTAAATTAAACCATAAACTAAACTAACTCACCTAGAGGAATAATCAACCAGTGTATGAAGAACATACCCAGGCCACAAAAAACAATAGATACACACACAAGGCTCCGCATGCCCTAAAAATAATAAATAATATTTATAAATACAATTCTATAAGATTAAAATACAACCTTTATAAGTCCAATAAGTAGGAGGATACCAGATATTATTAAATAAACTCCACACAGGCATCCGAAAATCAGAACTACATTGGGTAGATCATTCTCATTTACAAACTTAAGGACAAGAGCTGAATCAGAAATATTAAATACATTATAAAAATATAAAAATATTATCAAACTTACGTATTAAACCAGCGCCGCATCCTATATTAAGAAGTGCCCAGAAAACACAGGCCCTGAATTTGGTGCACAGATTCGATAAACACTTGCACATTATAATAGAATGATTTATATTTCACAATATATTCAAATACTTTGACAACTAAGTGAAGGCATATACATTTAATGGAAAGTAAAATGGTTGAAAGTAAACGCCATAAAAGTGGAAACAACTGAGACTGAGACTGTGACTATGATACCATTCAACAGCACTTTGACTGAGTGTGGACAATGGTAAAAGTAAGCAAATAATGTCAATCAATTACTGCATTAAACTTTCCCCATTTAGTTTGCCCGTTGAAGCGTGGAAAGTGAACACAGAAAACCCTTCTGCTTTCCATCGAAATTCAGCTCCAATCCCCCACCGTCCCCCTTGCCACCATCATGACCACCGTCCATGTTAACTAATCAAATAACTGTAGCGACACGAAAATACCCAAATGTGGCCATGTCAATGGTTTTGGCCGGCGGCGCTGACAGTGTCCAAATCCAATGCAAACAAAAGTGCAAATGAGTTCGAGAGAGCGACGCTAAAATGTTTGCCCAAGCCAAAATGTTAATGGTAATGACAGCTCCGAGAATCCGTTAACGAACTACGGGCACGTTCCATTGTCCCACTCCTGCTCCCAGTTCCGATCCCGTTTCTGATTCCCGATCCCCGGAAACAGCTAAGCCCCAGTATGTGTTCTCTCTACATTACAATTTCCATCAGAAATGGAGCAGCAGCTCAGCAGCACCCACCCACAGCACCACTGTCATTAAAAATTGCCACGTAAAATGTTTCCAAAGGCCATCGAGACGAGTATGGTAGCTGACATCCGAATCCTTTGGCTAATGGCCAGTCGTCCACCTAACTAAATTAAAATATTTACGGGCAGATCTCTGCATGTATCCCAATTATACGCGACCCAAAATATGATAGTTAGATGGCCGGGGCACAGACCAAAAACCCAAAACCAAAAACCCAAACCGAAACCGCACCAAGAAGACAACCCGGCTAAATCCCATAATTAAGCTTGTATGCATGTCCTCGTCCTCATCGTCCTCGTCCTCATCGTCGTCCTTTTTGCGTGCATGTGATGTATTAATTTAGAGAAAACCTGGGTGCTGCCCGGCTTCCCTTGCTCAGCCCAACGACAAAAACAACTACCGCATGGTCGACAATGGGAACCGGCAACCGGCAACGGCCACAATTACACCTACAGGATGGAGTCAGTCGGTACAGGACAATGGCAGGACATAGGGCACGGGATGAGATGAGATTTTTCGGGGGGCGGGGGGCTCTGGGAGCAGCAACAGCAGCAAAACTATTTCACAGCTAAAAATGCTGTTATGCGTTTATATTAACACGGATGTGCCCGCACACACGGACGCCCCGCCATGGCGGGAGTCCTGGCGCCAGGACACGTAGAAAAGGTAGCCAGCATACATTAGCAGGCACGTAGGATGCAAACTAACTGTACCATTGGAGCAGAAATAGTATCAGCGATACGAATCATATGCGGCAGCGCCAAAAACCCAGACCAAGCGCAGACCAGGACCAGTCCCATGTAACCCACACCCACTCCTAGTTCCACTTCCACAACCCATATGGCCACCCGATCCGAAGGAGCATCCTTCCATGCAATGCGACATGGTCGCATACAGGCATGTGGAGCAGCAATCGCGGAGGCAGGCCAAGCAGAAGCTGAAGTCCTTGAAAGGATCAAAAACTTAAATTTGCAAAATGTATGTACATAATATTTAATATTTGAATTAATGTATTTGAATGGAGCTGTTGTTTTTTACTGATATTCACTATCTGTAAAAGCAGCAAAAACATGAATTATGTGTTATAAAAAGTTTAATCATTAGGTTTTATTTCCCTTTTTTCGCTGCCAAATATAATTAATATTAATTCCGTTATTAATAAAGTGGTCCCTCTTATAACTGATACTTAAAACAAGAAAGGAAGCCGAACTTTTTATACCCTTTCACTTATTATTGTTTTAGGAAACGCAATCCATTATAACTAAGCCAAAAATGATTTAATTTCAATTCAGAAATCACTCCTATGTATGTTTTTATTAAGTTAACAAATCTACATACCCAATTTAAGATTTAAAAAAATATAATTTTTTGTCAAATTTTGACAATTTTAATGTTGTAATCCCTTATAAAATTAGGAAAATTTAAAAAAAAAATCCGAAAATTTGTTTTTTCGACCGGACATAGCTAGATCGATTCGGCTTTTGATGATGATCAAGAAAATATAAGATTCATAGGGTCGGAAATGATTCCTTTACTGCGATCCAAGCATCTGACTAAAAAGATAATATTCTTGAAAGAGTATAGGGATTTTTTTGGTACACAATTATATTTACGTAAAATAAATACTATCAAGCTAATCAATTGCTTATTTTAAAATAGATTACTACTGATTAAATCAGTGTAAAATTGAACACCAATTTAAAACAAATAAAATTAATTGTAAAGGCTTCCATAAACATAAGCACATAAAAATATTAAATAATACATTGCTTTATTACATAGCAAAATAAAATTATAATTGGGTTAAGTAAACAAATAATACCCCAATCTCTAATTCTAATAATAATAATAATAATCTCTGATTTAAAATAATTTTACTTACAGAATAACCTATATACAGTAAGTAAATTAAAATATTATTTGTGTAATTAAATAAATTTAATTTTCAAGTTCTAATAACAACACTTTAGAAACAGATAAATTGACTATAATTTTTCAATAAAAAGGATACACTATCTATTCCCCAAGGACCCACAAATAGACCCTCGCAATGTGCAAGTTTCGTCACACGCTAAACAGTTGGCAAGTATTAGGAGTGGGTGGAATGCCTCATGGATCGGGGATCGGGCCAGGAATACCATGGGAGCTCTGGATGGGAGAAGTATCCTTTGTGCCAGCATGCAGCGCTGGCAAAAGTTAGTTACGAGTGCGAACAATGATATTACGTAAAATATTTTGAAACTGCTGCTCTCAGTTTCGCTGTTTTCTGTGGGTGGGTGTCTGTGTGTGGGTGGGGCATGGATACAGGGATGAGTGTGTGGGTGCCTGATGGGCGTGGCTGTGGGGGAGGAGGGAGGAGAGAGGAGTTCCTGCGGCCACGTGGCATGTGACAGCAAAACGCTGCTCTGACTCCGGCTCTACCTTTGCCGTAATTGTGTCGCACATGACCCTTCTGTTGGCGGATGGCACCGGTACCGGTACCGTCACCCTTTTTGGTAACAGAACTGGAGCACACGGGAGCTGAGTGCAATAACCACAATTTCAGATTGAGATGGAGCCATCCTCTAGTCCCCCTTCTCCCCCATCCGTAACCCAGCTCCGGCGTAAGCTCATTACGCTCTGGCTTTGTTTTGGACTAATTAAATTTGAATGACTATTTTCACTTAAAAACTTTTTACCCCACTCGTTTGGCTTTCCCCTCTCTCCTCCTGCCTGCTAACGGCTGCCTTGTTTTTGTTTCGTGTTTTGTGTGTTTGGCGTTGGCGTTGGCGCCAGGTTTTGTTTAAATGTTGCGCTGGGGTTGGCCCGAAACTCTTGAGTGAGCCATAAACAATGTGGCTGGCAGCCTGGCTAAAAACCAGGAGCAGCCGCAGCTCCCGGCCATGCCGCGCACCCCCAGAAATGCCAAAAATCGTCCGGATGTCGCACAAAATATTAGAAATGATACTTAACCACAGAATTGCAGAGCTTTCGCTTTTGAATCGAGTGGGTGTGTTGTGTGGTGTGTCTATGTCTGGGGGAGTTAATTGTTGGCCGGGCTAAAGAGCCAAGCGTTTTGGCCACCTCTTTTTTCGGGGTCGCCTCTAGCCGAAAATTCCAAAATGCCAAAACTGTGAAATTAGCAGAAGCGGCAAATGGCAGCCGGAAACGTGCCGCAAGCCGGATATAAGCAACGCTGGCTCCAACAATATCCCCAAATAACTCCCTTTTTCAATTCCAAAACAAAATCGCTCGGTTGGCCGACCTCAAATACATTTCATGAATCATGATTTTATTAGCTGGCCAATAGATGAATTCGCGTATTTTAAATATAATGCCATCGAAATTAACGCCGGCAATCACATTTGCTTTCTGCCTTTTCATTTGTGGCCATAAATAGCCCGCGGATAAAAGATATTAATGGATTTTGTTTCGGGCCAGCCAGCCAGCCAACCGTAATTTCTATATATGTATGTATAAATGTGTATAAATGCAAAAACCGAAATTAAAAATAAAAGAAATTTTATAATAAGGAATAAATCCTCCGACAAACGATAAATATAATTATAAATAAATAAAATCTGCAAACGTGCGTAACCGGAATCTCGGGAAACCAGGACTCACCGATGACTCCGGTCTTCGACAAGGGCGTGGCGGAAAATCAATAACTACAACTAGGCTCTGGCCAGCGAAAATGACAACAACTACAACTATAAAAGCCAACTTGATTGTGGTGCACAAAGATTTAATTGTGTTCAATTGAAATGAAATCAAATGTAATTTGCCTGAAATTGTGTCTATTGTTACGGTTAGTGGGGATTGATACCGTATTATATATCTAGAATTGTACAAAATGGGGGCTAATATTATTTAATTATTAAAAAATAAAAAGGGTTTATATTTCCACTTCTTTTTTTTATAAAGAATAAGGCTTAGCTTATCATAAATTAAATTTTTCAATTATTCATTGCCCATATTAATAGCATTGATTGATCGGGAACCCAAGAAATGTGCCAGGATATTCAAGAATAACCAAAAATAGACCAAAAATAACCGGCGTAGGCTCTCCACACGTGCCGGAGATATCCTGTAGCAATTTTCCCCGATTGCAATCATTTTGGATGAGTACTTTTATCTTTCAGCGATGCTATCCCAATCGATTCAAATGAATTTGTGGTTTTCAGGCTCCGGCATTAAGTTGAACCATCAGCTGCTGAACCATTTTAATATCCGTCATTCTTTTCCCTTTAAAAATCGAACACGTTGGCCCGTTCTGTGTGTCCTTGTTGTCCTTGTTGTTGCTGCGGCGGCATGTGTCGGCCGTTTTTTTTTTTGTTTTCTTGTTGGTATTTTGGGTGGGCTTTTGCGGCAAATGCTGGCGGC